GACGCTAGTCCTAATAAACCCGGTTTTAAAAACAAGATCTTCCAAGCTTTCGGCATTCATACATCATCTACGTAGGCTAAGCGGATCCCGTTTTCTCTTGATCTTTTATTCCGCCTGTATCGTTAGATTCGTTCTCTTCAGCTGCGTTTTCTATATTTTCTCTCAGTTTTTATCTCCTTTCTTTTTTTTCTTCAAAGCTTGATTATGATATCAATTTTATTTTGAATAAATGAAAATATAACATAACTCTGAAGAGAACGGAACTATTATAAATGTAATGTAACACTAAAGAAAACGGATCTATTTCAAATGTAATATAAATTAACGAAGACAAATCTATGTTATGCTTTTGTCCGTTATCAATTAACGATTTTCTCGGTAGGGCGTCATTAAATAGATAGATATATAGAACTTTATCGAATGAGCAATTTTTTGAATGAGGTTTGTAAAGAGAAAGGTATATTTAATTTCAGTCCTCAAAGCTACCATATCTGGCAATTATTCGTATTGATCAATTAATTTTTTGATATCTCTTAGTTATAAAGTAAAAGCAAAATATAAAAAATTATTAAAATATTTAAAAGATAATTAAATTAATTAAATTTGAAGTGCAATGTGTGTTAACATTGAAAGTATTATAGAGAGAATAAAGTATTAATTTTACGATTTGTTGTGTAAACTCTAAAAATTTTACAATGATCTTGGGGGATCTATCAAATTATTATAATTTATCACAATTATTTTCATATATAAAAATAATTCTCTTTATGCATATGCGTGATGCAAATTTGTGTAGATACAAGACTCTTAAACAACATTATGAAAGAATTATAACTAGTGTTAAAATAAAACCTTAAGAAAAAATTGAAATTGAACGTTAAAACAATATTAAGAAAGAATTAGAACTAAACACTTAGTGTAGATGAAGTTTTCCAAACGAGAGTACTTTAGTATAAAATTATTTTGTGAGGTTCCTCGAATTATCAATGATAATACGGCGATTGATAGTTTATTTTGAGAATTTTATTTAACAAGTCTATGTAGTATATCAATATTTATTTCTTTTCAGCATATATGTGTTTTCTTGCACACTCTGTAAGTTTTTTTTTTTTCTTTTTTCTTTTTGGAGAGACGATAAAGTGACGATGCATTTCTCTTTATTTGTATGTATGTGCATGTATATATACACATGTATGTGTGTATATATATAATATATGTGTGTGTGTGTGTGTCTGCGTGTGTCTGTGTGTGTGTGACTGTCTGTGATATTAAGCATGTAAGAAAGTTTTTGACTATGGGTTTGTGCAAACGTATATTCACATAGATTGAAACTTTCTTACGTATTTTAGCATTAGATAGTCATATGCAGGCTATAAAACATCGTTCTTCGATTATAGGATATTCTATATAAATTGCATTTACATGAGACTAATCTTTCAGATAGATTTCTGCTCACATCATGGATATAAGAAATAACTGGACTGTGACTGTAATCTGATGCGAGATGTATGATAACGAGGAACATACCAAGTCGTATAAATTATTAGACACACAAATACGTGAAATTTAATATTGTAATGAGCGCATAAAATATTTGAAATTCCAAATGACGTACATTGATATTAATATAAGATGTATAAATATTTTTATACAATGTTTTATAAGGAAATATCGAAAACTGGTATATTTACTTTCATTGCGCTTTTTTGAAATTATATCAGAAACTGTGTAATGTGATATAGTTTATTACATTTTCTATTTCGTTTTTTTTTTTTTTTTCATTTAATTATACTTGTTCTTGCTTGGAGCCACTTTACAGCCAATCCAGTCATTTTCTTACGTCTATAACTCACATAAGCAAACTGCAACAATTGAACATATTCGGCACGTTGTATTTAACTAGAAGAAAAAAATGAACGAAATCAGAAATTGATAGAAATTGAAAAGTAGAAAATTTATTTTAAAAAATATCTTAATAGAGAGACGTTAATAGAATGCGATTCTATTTTTTACCTGCAAAAAACACAATTTATCATATTATGAAGCTTTATTCTTTCTTTCATACCACATGCCTTGATAGAGAGAACATCTTTACCTTTCTTTTTCGACATAATTCGATGAAACAATTCATATGTCATTCAAAAGTATGTAGTATTATGCTATATAGCTGCTTTGCTTAACTATATAATGCGGTATAGATTCGCAAAGACGACATAATTTTCCAAAGAGAGAAATGACAAAATATATTAAGAAATAAATGGCTTCGATAAATATAATAGAAAAAGATGTCTTACATAATAATTTTCTCAATATATTCTGATTTTTACATATTGTAATACAATTACACGATGAGATGTTTACGATACAGTTTAAATAAAAATCGAAATCCATTGTGTGAATATCATCGAAAATACGTATTTTAATTTTTTTAAAGTTAAACAGAGGATATATAGAACATATTGTAACAAATGTATCTTTTCTGATTTTTATTCGATTTGTATCGTAAAGATTTCTTTCCAGTTTGCAATACAATAATATATATCCAATGTAAATATCTACGATAACTGCAAACGTACATCTCGGATGTCTGTGCGTTGTAAAAATATCGATTTTTAAAAATTCAAAATGTGACTTTCGGCGATACTCTCATTGCAATTTATGTAAGATTTAAAACAAGATTGTAGCAATCTCTTTAAACTTATGGCACATATTGGGTGTTTGGAAGATATATTTTATTAATAGCCATAGATATATTTATACATTTTTTTTACAGAGAGAAAAATATATTTTAAATATAGTTTGGATAAATATATATTGAAGATATTAGAAATATACTTGAATTATATGTGAAATATATTTTACAGAGTGGCAAAAAACGATGTAGGCAATATTTCTTATAAGATCTCAATGGTGCATAAAAGAAAGAAAAAAAACTAATACTTTTTTTGTTGACTTTTGCGTTGAGAGACATCAAAAGTAAAGTGATTTTGATCGAAAATGATGATTTTTATATATTATATGAAGCGACATTTATTTTTTTAGATAGAAAATAATTTGTTACATAATCTAATAATTATTTTATCCTTGATTAAGTTAATGATGGAAAGCTAATGATGTGACAAAAGTAATGAAGGTAGTGCCTTGAGACTTTAATAAATGATAAATAAATTATTTTCGAACGGAGATTTGCGATTTTACTTGATTTTATTCCATTCTGCGATATTTCGATATTTTTTATGGTTCTTTATTATAATTTATTAAATTATGATGGAATAATATTTAAATAATTCTATGATCATCTTGCTGCGATTCGAATTATATAAGCTGCCTCAGATCAATTAATGAAATTAAACTTTAAATTTTTTTTAAAAAGAAATATTATTATTGAGATTATTATTAAAAATTAATAAAATTGCGAAAAATTACAAACAATAATGTTATTAGATTGTCAAAAAGACACACATGTATATATAATAAAAAAAAATATCGGAACTTCGAAATATCTTAAAAAGTAAACATTTTTGAAAAATTTTGAAAAAGATATTAATACAAAAATAAAGTTTTAAACGATGCATTAAATGATAATGTGTTCAAACAGATTTTGCCAAGTGTCTGTTACAAATTTTTGTCAGCAGAAAGGCTACAAATTTAGTATATAGAATCTGTTAATTCTGATTATGTTGACAAAGTGTCAGGACAACTATAACAGAACTTGCTAACAGAATCTGCTGTCAAATTATAACTAAATAATTTCAGAATAGATGCGTTCTCTCTCTCTCTCTCTCTCTCTCTCCCTCTCTATCGAGGTTCACTTGATCTGAGACATCTTGTACATTCTTGTATTGTAATTAGATGTGTAGAATTAATTCTGATTATGTTGTCAGGACGTCAGGACAACTATAACAGAACTTGCTAACAGAATCTGCTGTCAAATTATAACTAAATAATTTCAGAATAGATGCGTTCTCTCTCTCTCTCTCTCTCTCTCTCTCTCTCCCTCTCTATCGAGGTTCACTTGATCTGAGACATCTTGTACATTCTTGTATTGTAATTAGATGTGTAGAAAAAGCTGTAATTTCAATGGGATGTATGTATGTTGATATAATGAATGCAACATTGTATTAATTTTATTCGCACGCAAAATTTGTGCACTGTTCGTTCTCTGGATCAACTTGCGTTGTCGTTTTTGTTTCGCTTTGATTCTTGAATATAAACTGAACTGGGTCCAGAATACAAGATGACGATGATAATAATGATGACGCAGCGGAAACATATCGCTTCTGGATGACAGATGGATATATATATATATAATAATAATAAGGTGCGTATTTTTTTTGTAGAACTAAAATTCTTTGTTTTTACGTTCTTAATGCACAAATTATAATGGATTATAATTATTCTCGATTATTCTTTCCACTTTATTTTTTCTTAGATCTTATGTAATCTTTGTTTCTTTTGAACAAACAAAATATCTTGTACTAATAATATTGAAAAAGCAAATAGATAAAATTGATAAATTAAAAAAAAATGTACTTATTCTGTGTAATGAATGAAGGTATGCGCTTCTGTATCTTTTACATATTTAATTCTCTAATAATTTATCACCTGCTTCTTCAATTCTCGTTGCCCAATGATTAATCACTGTTCTTGTTATGAAATTCGCAGCTATGATAATAGTAATAATAATATATTAAATATATAATATTATGTAGTAATAACACATACACTTTATTGAATATACAATTAATATAGATTGCAAAATGAATATTAATATCAATATTTAATTATTATGAACATTTCAGGATAAAGTGCAAATTTGCTATTATATGGAATTGCATGCTGAAGTAATAATTGTGCACCATAGTTGTTTTCTTGATTTTTTATGCTTGCTATGTCGATGATATAAATACTATTTAATTAATTTAATATTGTGCTTCTCTTTCAGTAGTAACATTAAAATTTTATAAAATTTTGTATTAAATAAAGAATATAATTATATAAATATCTTGTGTCTTTAATCGAAATAGGATTAAACTATATTAATCTGTAAATTCTTTATTAAAATATTCTGATTAAAACCTTTTCTTCTCACTGTAGTTATATGTATTACGTTATTAGAAGCAAGAAATTACAAAAATCTTTTTTTTTTGTGAAAAAAATACGTTAAAATAAATTAGTTTTTACATGTCATTATTCACGTTTAATAGCATGGATTATTAACATATATCGAAAATTTCTTGTTTTTCTTGTTTTGTATTATCTTGTATTAGTAAATTCAACTCAATATGTATGCATCCTGCATTTTCAATAAAAATCGACGTTATGATAATTGATCAAAGTTTATAATTTTATTAATTCACGAACAATAAAAAAAAGTCTTCAGCATATTTTATCAAACGCGATTGGTGGCACATGAAAAAACTTATTTCGACACATTTAGCAGGAAAAAAGATTCACATGATTTTTCGATTCTCACATGCCACAATTCAGTACATTAATAATTACATAATAATTGCAATTGTTAATAAATAAATAGATTTTGTATCAAGAAAGTATATTTAATAAGTTACTAACGTTTTCTATGTATTTAATAAGTTAGTAATTTTCTTATAATGTATAATACAGTTCACAAGGAAAAAAAGAATCAATTTTCTTATTTTTTTGATGATAGATATAAACATTTTGATGGATCCGGATTCAGCATAAAAAAAAAAACTAAAAATAAGAAATGATTATTTTCATTTTTGTATTTAATACAGCGGTTACTTTTATTGACTAATATTTTTATTTTTGTATATATCATAATTAAAAAATTTTGTTAGATTATTAGATTTTTATTTAGATTACTTACTTTAATTTTCTAATACAATATAATATTTCGGAGCAATTAAAGACACGAGATTTTTTTATATTTTTGAGACACAGCTAATCTTCCTTTTCAAACTTGCTTTTTTGTTCTGTTGCAGGACTGGAAATACGCTTTTCGCGCGAAGTAAAAAGCTTATTTATTGAAGAAAGCTACTAGACTATAATCTCAATGTGCGGATGATAAGACAAAAGGGGACTCTGTAACATTAACCGATAATGATGTCCGGATCGTCTCGTTTATGTACACACAACACACATTCCAGCTGCTTCTTTCCAACGAAAAAAGCACTGTATGCGAGCCAGCTCCATGTTGCTGCTAGTTTCTCCTCACTCGTAACTTTAACTGCGGACGATTTGTAGCGCGAATTAATCTGCATTTCGAATGTTTATCTGAACGACTTCGAAAAATATCGTGTAATCTGAATCAAGATCCAAAGGAACTACGATCACTTACTTCGCATATCTATATCAATATTATTACGCATATATACATTATCTCAATACTTTCTTCGATGACGCGTTATCATTTTAACTGGAGTTAAATCTGATCAAAATAGAATTGCATATTTGTGCATATTATGTATCACTTGATATAGAAACATATTTTACATTAATTTCTTCAATTTATTTGTATAATTGTTAATATCTACTATATATTTATGTAAACGTACTATCTGTACAATAATAATTGCGTTAACAATTTTTTTTAAAAAAAGGTGACATTTTTCCTTTTGTGCAACAATCGAAGAAATTCTTTTTCAAACCCTATCTTAAGTATATTTTTTTAAAATCCATACATTCTAAAAAGCGAATTTGTTTCTCATATTGAGATCTTCTAGACATAGTTTCCTGAAATTCTCATGACATAAAGTTATTAATAATATAAATCCGCAAAAAATCTCCATTTCCAAAAAAATAATTTTTTTAGAAATGTAGATTTGAGAAAGTCTGGTATTAAATTCTTCAATTTGGAAAACGTGTCAAAAAAGGATTGATCTTAATAAATAGACAAGACAGCGATATTGCAGCCTGAGGTTTATTAGCAAAAATTGTCTACTTTTTCAGGCAGTTAAGAGGTGATGTGATATTTAATTAGTCAACGCTATGCCTACGATACACTGCGTTTTCTTATGCTAAATTATTCGCACGTTTTTTTATGCTAAATTTTTTACATGCGAGTTAGTAAATGTTTTTTTTATTAGAAATGCGCGAAACAATACATAGAACATTTTTAGTTGTTGTTTCCTTTTATTAAAAATTTTTTTCCGTTTTAGATCAGTTGGTTCTTTTTTTTCTAAATTGAGAAGTTTTTTTTACGCTCCTCTTTCATTTTCTCACCTGATCACGCGATTACGTTAGAATGAAAAAGCAAATGAAAGATAGACATTTTCACTTTATTTATGTATTATTAGAATATAAATCAAGAGTAAGAAAAAAAATCTTGGAATAGAAAAAATGTTCAATGCTGATAATTTTAGAATAAAGAAAATGACTCTTCGATTTTTTACTAGCTTGTATACAATTTAGCAGGAAAAAATACAATATATGTATTCTAAGTTATATAGTTGTGGGTTAAAAGATCGCAAAATTACTTATATTTATTTTCGATGAGTTTCATTGAGTTTTGATATGCATTAAAATTGTAACATCCTTTTCGAATATGTACAATTAGCATCAAAAAGATTTCTCTTTTAGTGCTCTTACCAACATATTTAATATCGATTAGTGGAAAATGTGTTTATTAAGGACATGAATATCGCTCTCTAGTTGGAATCCTACAATAAAATCTCTTATTAGAATTATTGAATTTGTTCCAAAAGTTTTAAAAGTTTCAAAAAAATTATCTTTATCTTTTTGCTAGAGCAACTATATATCTAAGAATTCTAAAGATATAAAAAGAGAATTTTATTATAATTATTTAGATATTTTTAACGCGCGACTTATCATTCTTGAATCTCAATCGATTTGTAAC